GGTCCAGGTCGGCCAGCTCCTGCAGGCTGTTGTTGGTCAGCAGCACTGTCTGCACGTTCGGCACCTGCTCGTGCAGCGTCTCGCCGATCCTCCTGTGGTCGGGCAGGGTGGACACGGTGAGAGGTGAGCAGAGCATAGGGGAAGCTGAGCATGCCATGCAACATAGTGGACAACATAGGAGAAAACATGCAATAAATAGCACAACTGGTGGTCACTCAAACAAACTCCATTTTGAGAGAAAGTTTCTTGAATTAATGATGCACATATTGTGACCTCATTTTTCTTGGGAGTTGGGACAGACTATGGGAATTGAAAGCCCTGAAAAGCAAAATGATATTCAGCAATAATGAAATAATCTCAATATTCCAGATTGTACCTATGAAATTTGATAAGTACATAATTTCTACCAAAAGTGGGTGCAAGTGTTCAAAGAACATCTAACCAGTCAGAATGTCAAAAAATGGCAGAAAATCTCATCATATAGCAGATTGGCAACTCACACTATCCTGTTATTGTTCATCATGAGGCACTTAAGCCTCTTCAGAAGTGGGAATCCATCCAGCTTCCTGATTTCATTCTCAGAGAAGTCAATTGTGTCAAACTGATCCTGTGAAAAGAAGTTGATATCAGTTGATCAAGCACATGATCACAATGAAAGACAAAAAAAAAAAATCAGGAGAAAACTAATGTAATTGATGAAAATCCAGAAAATAAGTTAAAAAGGTCACATTTTCAACATAATACATAGGTAACAGCCAAAACATGAACTTTTTCAAGCTAAACATAGCAGCTATTGAAAAGAAAGATGCTCTTAATATATGTAGGCTGTTACAAAGTGATGTACTTACCAGTGTGGCACCTAAATTTTCAATGACAGGTATTTTGTAGGCCCTTAAGTCGAGCTCCCGATCTCGCACAGGGTTGATGTGCTGGTAGGCCTGCTGAATCAGCTCCACTGAAAGCTTCACCATTGTTGGCACAGATCAGCAGAAACCTATCAATGAGATGTGTAAAATTACAACTGAACACAGGAGGGAAATGAGAATGGTGCTGTGGTAAATGGTAGGTAAACAGGTATTTATTTACTTTAGGACCGGCAGCCTTTACTTTCGTCGCGAACCCCAAGTGATAGTAAGAAGCATATCACATGACATAATTTGACCTTTTGATTTCATAGCTGATAGTCATTCATGGCACAAACAAGTTTAAATGCACCAATACAATATTTACCGTCACCGCCGTAGATCCCCACCGACTGCGTACTCCACCGGCCACGCACTGCGCTCCAAGGTTTAGTGAATACATAATAACGATGCTATTCAACTGTGAGGAAAGTGACGTCATTAAATTTCTCGTTGCGAAGCAGCGGCAGTGCCGAAGGCAATGCCTTAGGAGAGATTACAGGCAATGGTAGGTCAAATATTTTTAGGTTAAGTGGTTGTGTATTTGGCTTCAGGCCGAAGGCCTGAAGCCAAATACACAATATAACAATAATAGAACACAACAATAGATAACACAACAACAATAATATAACACAATAATAGAACCTTTGAAAAGCTGAGGCCGGCAATGTTTAATCTCACATACAAAACATTTGTTCGCCCTCACATTGAATTCTGTCCCCAAGTGTGGTCTCCATATAAGAAATATAATATCAAGAAGATTGAAACAGTTCAAAGAGCAGCTACAAGAAGAGTTGTGGGACTGCAAGGGTTAAATTATCCAGAGCGGCTGAGACAGCTTAAGCTTACCACCCTAGAAGAGAGAAGAGAACGGGGAGACTTACTTGAGACCCACAAAATCCTCCATCAGCTCCACGAGTGTGACCTCACCCAATTATTTAACGTTAGAAACCGAACAGAGCGAGATTACCTCAAACTGTACAAGCCCCACCACCGGACGTTGAAGAGAGGAAGATTTTTCTCACAAAGAGTTATAAATAAATGGAATTTGTTAAGCTCTCACACCAAGATGGCAAAAACATCTAACCAATTTAAGTCAAGATACGACAAACATCGGACAGACAGACAAGACTGACCGAAGAGAAATCAAACTGATATAGAAAAACGCGTGATTCAAAAAAGAAATGGGCTACAACATAGACCTCGACGTCTTCTTCCAGAGCCCAAACAACCTTGATTCTTGATTCTTGATTCTTAATGCACAATCACTTAACCTAAAAATATTTGACCTACCATTGCTTGCAATCTATTCATGCGAGCAACTTTTTCCTTATCCCCGGGTAGGCAAATATCAGTAGGTCAGGTTAGGTAAGGTTAGGTTATGTTCTGATAGTTTTTTCCGTGTTTAATTTGCTATTCTACCCCATTTGCTCCCCCACCCAAAAACCCCGGTTCCCAAGAAGATTGTCGAAAATTTCCCTTTGAAAAAGTGTGCCGGTCCTAAAGTAAATATTTACCGGTAAACATAGATTTGTAACACAATACATACAAGCTTGAAGCTACAGATCACTATTCACAAATCACAATAGCAGGCAGCAGCAGTGGAGTATATTCCAGCTTTGTGTAAGTGTTAGGTACCTCTAGTACACAAGAAAAGTGTCAATAATGAAACTGTCCCAAGCTGGGCAGGGCTGCGGAGTAAGAGTCAGTCAGCTCTGCCCAGGGTCCGAGGTCTGAGCCCTGAGGCCAATTTTACCAACAGAAAAATATCCGCCTGCCAGAATTTTTTGCTCAAAGACCGCTTCACATACAGAGTGAAACAGTAAAGCCCTATCCGCTTACGTGCCCATCGCCTTTATGCTCCGTATGTGCAGCAGTCTTTAAGCAAAAATTCTGGCAGGCGGCTATTTTTCTGCCGGTAAAACTGGCCTCTAAACTCCGTCAAAATTGCAAGGCTCAAAGTCATACTCTGTGCCTGTTTCAGTTTGTTGTGCACCAGCAGGGCATAGTCATAGTGGTAGGGCGGGCAAACATGAATGACGCCAACTCAAAGACAGCGAAGCACCTACCTTGGAAAGGCAGACAATCTTTCAATCAAAGGCAAATGAAAGTTAAAAGAATATTTCTTCGATTAGGGTTTAAAACTGACCAAAAAAATGACCACCCTGACCCTAACCCTTGCTTTTTCATAACTCTGCCAAGGCTTATCTATTACGAGGAGGTTCCAAAATTTGGTAGCCCTGGGTGTCATGATTAAAATACCTACTAGAACCCATTTCTAAACTTACCCGCTAGATGTATCAAAGTGAAATGACCATAGGTTTTACAAATAAGTTGTAGAAATGGACAAATTTTGTTTATTTCAGATGCATCTCCATCTAGTAGGATAAAATAGTATATTTGCTAGTTGCATACCATATGACAGCCCATATGGTGTCATTGCTTATATTGCGTTAGTGACGCAGGTGTGACAACGCGGGGGGCGCGTGTTGCAAAATGTAATGTTGCAATTTATACAATCTATAGAGGCCTTCCTTGTAAGCATAGCGACTAGTATCTATGACCGTGATAGCGACCCTTGCAAGCGACAAAGTCTGTTTCTGCACGTGCTGTAGATGGCCTCAGGCTACTTGCTTTTAGGTTAGAACAATTTGCGAAAGCCAGCGTGAGTCCATCCAGCCCCACGGCTTGACCTCGGAGTTCGTTTCCAGAGGGGTGTTCACGGGCACCGCACAGGGCCTGTGAACAGCCCTCAGAGGGCTGTTCACGGGCCCTGTGTGCGGTCGGACCGCACACAGCCTCGAAGCTCCGCCCACTTCGTCCCTATGTCAGCCTTCCGTCACCGCACACAGCGATCGCTGTGGCCGGACTGGCCACAGCGGACCGTCCACCGCACGCAGCCGTGACGTCAGAACCGCCTACCCATCCCCTACCCCCACGCCTGCTGGACGCACCGCACACACCGCACGCAGCAGTGTGCGGTGCCCGTGAACACCCCTCTGAGAAGACAGGTGGTGTTGTTTTCGCTCTGTGTTCGGTACGGTACAAGTGGTGCACGTGCATGAGGTGTCCATCCAAGTGTCCAGCATAGGTTGAGAATTGTGCCGTTCTATGGGTGCCCGGGCGCAGCAAATCCGCCGTACGTAGCCGACCCCCCCCCCCCTAGAGCCTAGTGGTGACGACCTCCGCCGTCTGTTGCGGCTCCAAAGCCAAGCCGGTGTGGAATTTACCTTTGGAGAGCTCGAGCACCCATAGTCCAGCACAATTCTCCACCTCCACCTCCAGTTCGTCTACGGGCGACGGGCGACCGGCGCGCATTGGAGGCGGTGGACCACTTCGGGCACTTCTGAAGGACCTGAGGGGTCAGGGAATGTTCGGTGGCATCTGACAGTCCCGTCTGCCGTCTGGTGCCTGGCGCTCTACAAATCCTCCCAGTGCCTGGTGAAGAGCGACAGCCGAGCCCGAATGGAGACGCCTGCCTGAGGCCACTAAGCCGCAGTGACAGAACATGATGGACGCCCGGGTAGTCCGAGCTACGGGCATTCCTTCTGAGAGTCGGCAGCGGAGAGCTGCCCATCGTCCGGGAGCTGGGAGAGGCCTGGGACGTGATCGACGTGCCGCCGGAAGTCCGCAGTCCCGTCGCCAGTGCAGTGTCGCGGAGCTGCAGCTCCGCACAGTCATGGCTGTGCCATGGCTGTGCCATGGAAAATCCGGACAGCCATGGCTGTCCGGATTTTCCCGTCAATGGTCGACGACTGGCTCTACCAGAGCAAACGAGCAAGTTTGTCCCGCGGATGGTGCCGTGGTCAGCAAGGTGCTGCTGATGGACTGCTGCCTGGCGCTGCTTTGCATTATGACAGCGCGGACAACGTGATCGACTGGAGGAGCCTGTCCAGGATGCTGAAGGAGGCTCTGAACAGTTTCGACCTTCGGAAGTCGGAACTGCTGCAACTGTCACCTTTTGACGCTCAAGGTGAGAAATGACGTACGAGAAGCGACGTTTCTTATACCTATGCTTTGGTACTTTTTCTACAGTAGACTTAAAAGCTAGTTGCTCATTTATTCTTTTGTTCATTTGATTCAGTTTGTGCTCAATGATAGGTATTATTGTTTATTCATCATTTTGTTATGCACCTCGCACAGAAATTCACACCTGATAGGTACAAATATTCACATCATTAACACGGTACCGAACGGCTATCCATATCGAGCAAATCATGTAAATGCTCGGCTAACACGGAACAAACACTGCAGCGCGTTGAACAATCAACATCAACATGGCTTTACGATCGCGCAGCTATGACACGGCCCGCATAGCTCGGGTAGAACCATCACCACCCATCAGACCGTCCGAGTGGCTGTCGCTGCCGTTTGCGGCCGTCGGCTCTGCTCTCGCCGATAGTCGTCACTGCACGGCCTCTCAGCAGCCGCCGGGGGACGGCGCTCCCTTCCCCTGCCGGCTCATCATCTCGTACTGGTAGAGGAACACGTCGGCGTCAAACTGCAGCTTGTCCAGCTCGCGCGGCTTCACCTTGCGCTTCTTGCCGGAGCGCCTGGCCCTCTGCGGCGCCGCGCGGGGCCCGCCCGCCGCCCCGGCTCCGGCTGGGGCCGCCCGCGGCGGCGCCCGCGCGCCCGGCTGCGGGGGACTGGCAACCTGGCGGCACCAACATCAGGTAAATGGATGATAATGATGGAATTCTTACGTTCCAACAGTTATGAAGATTTATATTTTATCTCCCCCCCTCCCAACGGTGGAACCATACTGAGAAGTGGAAGTAAAAATTAACTTAGTCCAGAAGCTGACCAAGTAGTTATGGAGCGAACAGCCCGTCGCGCCTCTGGACGTACTGGCCTGTTGCGGTGTCGCGACTTGAAGGCGGTGTGGCTGTGCGGCACCACGCTCTGCTGGGTGAGCCAGGGCTCGCGCAGCGCGCGCTCAGCGCTCAGTCGGCTTACGGGGTTCGGGTCGAGCAGGGACGAGATGAACCCCTTGGCCGCCTCCGACACACTCGCCCACGCCTGTTCAACGGACACGGCGCGGCTAGTGAGGGTGAACGGTCAGCCGGGAAAATGTGACATGATGCCGCTGTGCTGTATGCAATTAGGTATGAATGGCTGTTTTCTTTCGAATAATCTTGCAATTTTCCTCCCTCCCTCTCTCCTTCTCCTCCTCCTCCTTTCTTCTCTCATTCCATTTTCCTCTCTTCCTCCCCTTTCTGCTTTCTCCCTCTATTCACTCACTCACTCATTCACTCACTCACTCACTCACTCACTCACTCACTCACTCACTCACTCACTCACTCACTCACTCACTCACTCACTCACTCACTCACTCACCCACCCACCTACTGACCTCTCCCTCGAAGCTGAACTTGGCTCTCATGATGAGTTTGTAGAGCCGGAGGCGACTGTTGTTCTCGAAGGGGAACGTGCCGCTGAGCATGATGAAGGCGGTGACGCCGACGGCCCACAGGTCCACGGAGCAGGTGTACGGCCGGCGGGTGACCACCTCGGGCGCAATGTACTCGGGCGTACCGCACGGCGTGTACATGTAGATGTCCTCGTCCCGTTGCCGCGCCGCCGCCAGGCCAAAGTCCGTGATGAGCACCTGTCAGGGTAGGGCAACAGCTGTTAGCCGGTTATGGTCTAGCTGATTCACCTGTAGTCAGACTCGAATTAGAGTCTGTTTAAGACAAGGAGTGCTGGGTAAACGCTTCAAAACTCTTTCCAATCGCCTGCACTTCTGCGGGTTAGGACAGGCAGGGGCGGCAGAGGACGTCCTTACCTTAGAGTCGGGATGGCAGTAGAGGTAGAGGACCTTCTTACCGGCTGTCGGCGCTGGGGTGGTAGATAGTAGAGGGCCTCCCCACCTCGGAATCGGCGCCGGGGTGGCAGCAGATCCTACCTTGGAGTCGGCACCCGAGTTGGCAGGTACTGTGGAGGACCTTCTGGCTCGTACTTTGGAGTCGAGGTGGTAGAAGAGGACCTCCGTACCTTTGAGTCGGCGTAGGTAGGTAGCAGAGGCCTGGCTCCTACCTTGGAGTTGACGTGGTAGAAGAAGAGGAGGACCTTCGTACCTTGGAGTCGGGGTGGCAGTAGAGGACCTCCTTACCCTGGAGTCGGGGTGGCAGTAGAGGACCTCCTTACCTTGGAGTCGGCGCTGGGGCTCGGCGCCGGGGTGTTAGGTGGAGGACCTCCGTACCTTGGAGTCGGCGCCGGGGTGGTAGTAGAGCACGTTGTCGGGTTTGAGGTCGCGGTGCGTGACGCCGACGCCGTGCAGGTAGCGCACGCCGTCCAGCACCATGCGCAGCACGCGCGCGCCGTCCCTCTCGGAGAACACGCCGCGCGCCTGGATCTGGTCAAACAGGTCGCCGCCGGTGGCCAGCTCGAGCACCAGGTACAGCTTCTCGGGCGACTCGAACACCTGGGGACACGAGCCGGCCGCGGGGGGAGCTTGTGATAGGTGTGCCGCTAAGTTACCTAATGACAGAGCTGCTACACTATTATAGCTCTTTGTTTCTACTCGTATACACATTGTTTGTGTCTCTATAGCTTAAGAATTAAGATTATTTGGTTCGTCCCCAATGCACGTACAATTCTATTCCCCAATGCCAACGCCCATTTTATTGGAGAAAAGGTTAACATTTTAATCGCGCCCCCATGGCCCCTCAATTCAAATCAACCGTCAGTGACATCGGCATTCTGCCGACTATCGTAATGCACCAGACCGCCAGAGTAGCCAGTGATCGAAGTCACGCTAACGGCCTGCGGTGATCGAAGTCACGCTGCATGAACCGATCGGCTCGGCAGCGTGGGCAGAACGGTTTGATCGATGGAGGGCGGCAGTGGCGGCGGCAGGCGGTATAGGGACCGCCCTTCGGCGGGCACCGGGATAGCGCCGGGTCCGCGGAAATAGCGCGATTTTAGATATCGGGTCCGATGTTGGCCGTTGTCCACACCCATCCCTCCCTGTAAATGGGTGCCAACACATTACCCAGCTTTAGAGCTTTGTGCAGAGCTCATAGCATGCATCTAAATAACACCGGCAGCTGGGACTGCGACTGTGACACACTCCCTCTCTCTCCCCGTCTCTCGATCTCTCTGCTCACCTCCACCAGTTGTATGATGTTGGGGTGTCGCAGTTTGCGCAGGATGCGCAGCTCTGAGTCAAACGTGTCCCTGGCCGAGCTCTTCCCTGCAGTGACGTCGATCATTTTGATGGCGACGGGTCGGCGCGTGAGGCGGCTCTCGGCTCGCACCACGCGGCTGTAGGTGCCGCGCCCCACCAGCGCCTTCACGTCGTACTTGGCCAGGAGCCGGGGGTCGTAGCGCGTGCGGAACCGGGCGGCCGGCTGACCGGCCCGCTCCAACTTCAGCCGCTGAGCCAGGCTGAGCGGCGGCTGGCGGCCGGGCGAGCCCGCGGCGGCGGCGGGGGACGAGCCCGGCTCCGAGACACGCTCGGCGGGCGGCAGCTGCGTGACGCTGGTCACCGGCTGGCCGGGGGCGGCGTCACCCCCTCCCCCGGGCGCCACCGAGTCGAACCGCGGCCGCGTGCGGTGAGACGCGCCCAGGTTGAACGTGCGGAACCGGCCACCCAGGAAGAAGTTCTTGGAGCGCATGGTGGAGCCGGCGAGCCGCAGATGGCGTTTGGTGTGGTCGGCAGATGAGGAGCTCTATCTGTGCCAGTGAGGTAGTGCCGCTCACTCTAAAAGGGTGGAGGTGAATCTGAACACCTACTGTGGACGTCAAACCGTGTGGGACGCGACTTTTTCGCAATAACTTTTGAATACGTTGCCTCTCAAGAACGAAACTTCGGCAATGGACATTTCAGACCCCGGCCTAATTTTTATTATAAAGGTTTTTTAATGTCAAATAAATATTTAGGGTACTTCCCGTTCACTCGTAATGCTAAGTGAAATATCAGCCCGGATGGCGGCTATCGTCAGGTTGCTCGCGAAGCCCCGCCTACTAACTACGAATTCCCTGCCATCTACCGTTCAGACACGACTGCCATCTGTCGGTCGATCCTCACTCAGAACCGGTTCTGCATCAGCTGTGTGCGTCGGGTCTCAGATGGGCGGACATCTCGAAACCGATATTGTTCAGCATGGCCTTTTACCAGGTTTTTTAATCCGAGAAAAAAACCGAGATTGTTCAGTATGGCCCTTTAACAAATTAACTATACGAATTATTGACTTAGCAGCAGGGATGCAGAGCCTTGAACATTTGAGTCAGCTCCAGCTCCGGCTCCGGCTCCGAGTAAAATGGCAATACGGCTCCGGCTCCGGCTCCCACTCAGGGCAAAATATGACGGCTCCGGCGGATCCGGCTCCCCTCCGGCTATGCGTACCGGTGCATTACGGAAACATTTAAGTTGGGGCATATTGGGGCTTGGCAGGATAACACGAAGTGTACTAACGTTCCTGGCGGTTTGATATCTACAAGAACCTACAATTAAAGTGTTAGTTAAGAAAATTAACTGGACTGTGTAAATATATTATATTATTATGTATCTCATTTACGTAATTACGTTGACAAACTTATTAAATAATCATTTAATTATTTTCTGTTATTCTTAAATCATCGTAATATTTGGCGTACGCGTATAGTCTTCCTATCTGGGTGACATTCTTAGCGAGTCGAAGAAAATATTTCATTGATAGAATTGATAGAATTTTCAGTTTATCGCGGCTTCCTTCACGGTTAAATACCGACAAGAGGCGCATTGCAAATACATTCTTGCAGCCCTTAGGGCAAGCATGAATAACGTACGCCATGCGGCTGGGTGTGTTGGCAGGAAGCACCGCGTACCAACCCCTACGGACCGCGACTGACCGGTTTCGGGTCAGGTAGCGCCTCAGGCAACGGCCAGCCGAGGCGGAGCTTAGCTCCAACGTCACACTATGGCTCCGCCCCTTGTGTAGTAGCCTCTGCTCACCGAGAGAGTTTCAGGAGCAAAATTTAACATTACGAGTGAACGGGAAGTGCCCTAAATATTGATCGGACATTGAAAAACCTTAGTAATAAAAATTAGGCCGGGGTCTGAAACGTCCATTGCCGAAGTTTCGTTTTTGAGAGGCAACGCATTCAAAAGTTATTGCGAAAAAGTCGCGTCCCACGCGGTTTGACGTCCACAGTAGGTCCGACGGGTAGCAGAGAAACTTTCCTTAAAACAAGTCTTTGTGAATATATCGCTCGATTGAAAGGGCTATTGTTTCAGGCCGACGAAGATAGATTTTCACGGTTACTCAATGACAAAAGTTTGCACCATGTGTTCAGCCAAGTCAAATGCACCGGTCGCTATTTAACCACTGGAAGATGCATGAAAGTATTGATTATTTTTGGCGTTAGAGCCGTCAAGGCAGCTAACATTCACTGAGCCCACAGTCCTTACAGTTCACACCTTACGCTCACTTCTGTGACGTTCGAAACCACTGATGATGGTTAAAGGGACCCTCCCACCTTAACATTAGATTTGAGTTGAGATAGCCAAAATGGGGTCCCTGGCTCACAATTACCGGTTTCGGCACTCACAACATCGAGAAATGCCTTAAATCGGAAATATTGAATTTCAAAATTACAGCATTTTGATTCAGAGGGGCTAATGCTTAGGAATACCCCTCTGAATGTGTGACGTCAGCGCAAATATCTAACGATTTTTAAATGTTTGACTAAAACGTTTTGTAGCACGCGGTGGTATATGCTATTTGCGCGCAACATCTGCCGCAAACGCCGCACTTCTAAAATAAAGTCGCTAGAAACAGCGGAGATCCCAAAAAAGTAAACAAAAGTAAAAGTCTAATATCTTGAAAACCGGTAAATATTTTTTGGTGAAATTTGGTAGATATTCGTTTTCGCTCTTTCTGAACCGAGCGACATCACTTTCATGCCAATTCATAAACTTTTTTGAAGGTGGGAGGGTCCCTTTAATTCAGATCCGCTGTTCCTTTTCCACCGTTTCACGGTCTGCCGTTTGTTGTCGCACAGGTTCCTCGGTCGGCTATTTCACACCACACTCGGCCGGTCGGCACCGCTGCACCTCCACATTGTTCCACTCCCGGCTCCTCTGGTTTCCTCGGCCGGCCTCCCCAGCTCCCTCCGACTGGCCTGGTCCGTCCCCGGACTGCCACTGCTCGCCCCGTCGGCAGGGGCGTAACTTTTTGGTTTTCGTTGGGGGGGCAACGCTGTCAGGGGCGCCTTTTTAAGGGCATGGGGGCGCCTCCCCGTGACTATCTAGAAATAAGTCTTATTTCAGTTTACGGCAGCATTTTTTTTTTTTACCATGTCCATAGCACGTTGTTTTTTTTTTGTGCCGTCGTGTTTTGGCACGTTATGTTGCAGTTTTTTTTTCTGAAATAGCGCGCCAAAAGCGCGGAATTATTTTGAAACCAAATACATTTTGAAAGCAATTTGGGGACCAGAGACCGGGGGCGGGTAGTGGAATTGGGGACCAGGGTAGTGACGCCTTATTAAACAACGCATATGGTAGTTCTTCTAAAGAAACGAGACGAACTGATGAATTGACAAAAAGAAAAGAAAAAACAAGTGATAAAAAAGCGAGATTAAAGAAACAAATCTGTAGAACTTTACCCCACGCAGAAGCAAGGGACGTTTTTACGCCTCCCCTTTTAAGTTAAGAACACACTTCATACTGCATCTTTCCGCACGTGTTCTAGAAGCAAACCAGTGGCAAAAATTTGCCCTCATCGAAAAAAATAAAAAAAATTGCCCCCCCCCGCCCGCGCCGGGCCGGGGGGGGGGGGGAGGGAGTGAACACCTCCCCTGCGGTTTTTCGCAGATATCTCAAAACTCCGCGCCGCCATTTTTGGCACACCTGTTCATGCATCTTTTTTTTTACACATGTGCAAATTTCAGACCCAGAGCTCTCAAGGTCAGGTCACCAGGTCACGTCAAAAGACCTCACCTCAGAAAAAAAAGTTACAATCCTCGTCATAGCTACACCGACTGAACGATCGCCTTGAAACTTTCAGCGATTGATAAGAGTAACAGTATGTTCAAAATGTTTATCTCGGAATTTTGATATCAGTGACCTAAGGTCAGGTAATGTTTGCGACCTCTCCATTATAAGTCAATGGGAGAAAATTGAAATGAGCCTTTTTTGGACGAATGGTATTTAGAACCCTCTCAAACATCGTTTCATAGGTAAACATGATACACTGAATCGGAAAAAAATGCACCTGTGACCCCTATGTGTGCCCTTAAGGTCATCTCAGGTCATGAACGGTCACCACCAGTTTTTTGGCTGTAACTTTTGATAAAGGCGTGCTAGAGCGATGAAAACACGTCAGATGTATTCAGCTCGACGATACGGATCGACTGATATGCAACATGACCCTTTTCGGTCAGGTTATGACCTTGACCTGAGGTCAAATTTTAAAAATGACCTTTCAAGGTCAACAAATAGTTCATTCGACGCGTCTCGACGAGAGGAACATGATGCTGCCAAAAGTAATGTCGTGGCGCTCTTGAGTCAAAAGTTATTGCCGAAAAACAGTTTTCGTGAAAACTGCTATTTTACCGTTTTTGCCCTCTGGAGGCTAAACCGTTGACCTGAGGTCAAAGCTGAGAACAATGGTCAGAAAGGTCTGTAAAAGGGCTATCGAATGCACTTTTCCGCGGCGCTGTAGCTCTATTGATCCCGAGTTAGCCGTTGCAGTTTCCAAAATTGTTGAAATGGCCTACATTTGACCTTTGATGACCTCTGGCGACCTGACCTTTGACCTGACCCAAGAAATGACCGAAGTGTTTCCGTCATTATTTTTGACGCTCTTTCGAATGCTGCTTACTGCGTGTCGCTACGTGGCCCAGGAGCCGAGTTAGACCAGACACCCCCTCCCGCCCGGCGCGGAAGTCGAGGAGCACCAGCCCGGCGCGGGTTAATCCCAGGCTGAGAGCGTTCAAGCCTAGGTCACCCATATAGGGGAGAGTGGGGTAAGATGCCCAGGGTGGGAAAGACGCCCCACCCCCTCTAGCGGCAAAACAAATAATCGAACCTGGAAATTAATGTTCTTAGCGTAAAGCGGAAGCCTGCCTTGTCAACTGCACAAAAATTTGCGAAGCTCAGTTTGGCAACGGCTGGCTGGTGATTGAATGTTTTTTATTTGCTGCTTTCGAAAAATATTTTGGTGTCAAAACATTGTAAATATCAAAGAATGTAAATAATTTTTATGTTCCTTGCTATGGTCGTGATACATTAACATGCGTGTACTGTGTCGCAAACAGTTTGTTTCAGGGTGTAGTTTTATGGCTAACAAATTGTACTGATTTAATGTTAATTCTGTACCTTGGGGTAAGATGCCCCCTGTCCTGATGGGGAAAGACGCCCCCCTAAATCCATAGGCTGTCCTTCAAGCAGCCCGTCAAATCATTTATTACATACTTGTGATGAGAGACAAAAGCTGATCTGGGACTATTGAGAGTCCAGTATGGTCGGGAGCTCCCCATGCCGGTCTCTCGGCCCACACAGCGACTTTTTGGGCGGCATCTGACTCTGAGAGCCCTCACGACGGCCTCTGTGGGCCCCATTATTGGCTCCAGGGCCCCTCACGACATCCTTTGAGGGCTCCCACGTTGCCTCCACGGGCCGCGCTGGCATCTG